AGAATATCATATCGCTGGAGCAATAAAACCAGGTCCTGTGCCTATGGCTGAAGTTTCCACGTTTTAGTACTAGATTTTGAATCGTGCTGTGGCTCTCCTTTAATAAAGTAAATGTTTCTGCCATAATAGCACAGTTCCTTGTGAAGGAAACCGAAGCCATGTACTTTTTTAGTAAGTAGTAACTCCGTAGTAGTTGATATGGATTTGTTTTTTCCTCCTTTTTGGCTCAGGTCATGATCATAGTGCAAAGAGCAATTCAAAAAAGGAAGAAAGGAAAATGAAGGAGAAGCTCCCCTCAAAAAGCACAAAGCCCAAGAAAACCAGGACAGCAACCCAAGATGTAAATTTTGGGAAGAGTAAATCCAGCCAGGCACAAGACACACTGCAGTTCTCTCTGCCGTTACTGCCTGAAGCAAAGAACAGACATCATGCTGCAAAATACCGGGGTATATTTTGGAGCCCCAGTTCTTCAGCCAATGAAGGCACATGAAAGTGTCATGTATCTGATTTGCTCAAACAATTCCCAAGACTTTGGTTGTGGATTATGACTCTACCAGCGAGGGAGTAGATACCTGCAGAAATCAAAATTCTTCTTGCTCTTTTTTTTCTGAAAAATAGTTCTCATGCGTCGGCTAATTTTACACATGAAGTTTCTCTCACCACATGAAGAAGTATCCCAAATTCTAAACCAGTTTAGTGGGGAGTCTGTCCTGAATATAAAGTATCATTTGTCTTAAACAATATGTACTGTTTTGTGAGGCAGACTCCACTTCCAGAAAGAGCTCTGTGAAGAGCTAAGTCCCCCCCTTCTTTTTTTTCCTTTGTTTTTTGCTTCTTCACTCTATTTGGAAGTTTTCCTAAGATTCTCAAGGAGAGGGATTATTCACCAAGCAGCTGAAGCCACCATTCCTTGATCATAGTAGAGAAACTGGAGAGTCATAAGCCATGAAAATCATTCCCCCCTTTCACCAACAAACCAAATACATGTTACACTCAAAAACATTTGACATAAAATCTGTACACAGTTGGTCAGTCTGTGTAACTCTTTGCTAGAGGATGTCATGGATGCAAAAAATGTACATGGATCCAGGTGGACATGTACCTTATAGATAGACCACTGGGGGTTTTTGAATAGACACTTATGGCTTGGGAAATCTCCTCAGCTGAAAAGAGTGAGAACGTAGGAGAGTGCTTGGGAAAAGTATTGGATATGTTTGTTCTGTTCCTGCTCTCCCCTGGGCATCCATGCGCGGTCACCTTGGAGGCAGGGTGCTGTGATAGATGGCCCCTTAGCCTAAACCAGTATGGCCATTCATGTGTTCTTACATACCCGGGTAATATTTCACTCATTCCAGTCATATACCTGTATAGTTTGCATTTTCTTAATGTGTATAGCATTGTACAGACATTTGGGAGAAGAGATGAAAAATATGCTGCTTAAGACAGGTACTGAGTTGTGTCTCCTTTAAATTTCCTAGCACTTAGGATTTCCCAGTAAGCAAAAGCAAGTCAGTGGGCTTCCTCTCTCTACCTCATCTGTGTCTCTACAGCATGCTCCATTTTAATCCGTACATTGGAACCTATTGCTGCAAAATCGGGGCCATCAAGTTTTGAGCATTTGAGAGGGGCTGAGCTAGAATTGCCAGTAATAAATAAAACCTAAACTATTTGTATCTGCAAGAAGAAAGAATTGGCCAAATACTTAAAATATTTAAAATTTCTCTCTGGAAAGAGATATCCCAAACAGCCTCTCTGTTGTGCACTGTATAAGAAACGAGGAAAAATCATACCGTATTACAGCAAGACAAATGCAGTAATAAAGACAAAAAATTAGACACATAGGCACAAGTCATCATTACAAGGCCTCCCAGAGACAAGTGGGTCAGCTTTCTGTCAGGGCTAGAACTGGATGCAAGTACAGTGAAGAAGGGCACCTTCCAACCTAAAGGCTGCAGCCAGCCGGGCACCAGTCCTGGGGAATGCGTTCTGGGAGCCTCACATCTGACACCCTTAGGTGGGATTAGGATTCAGTCTCGTGGAATCCTAAATGCAGCACACGTGCAGACAGCAAAAAGCCATTTGGCTTCGCGCTGCCTTGGACTCCGGCTCTTAGGTTGCCAGCAACCTCCTCGTGACAGCTATAGGAAGAAAAGCATAGAGTTGGCTTCATTTCACTGAGATTTATTTATTTTTAGTTGTCAGCAGATTACAGTTGAGAAAAAAAATAGTCATTTTACGATTTCTTCTGAATAAAAGTGATTTCTAAGCAATGTAGAAGAATATGAAGTGAACTCCAAGCTCTCTTCTCACCAGTCTAAGGACTCCCACAGGAATCCCTCAAGTCTGGTACAATGGGGCAGTATTAGCTATAGCTGAGAGGGTTTTTGAGTAACTAGAGGGAACAAAGTTCTGTGGGGATTCCCTCAGGAATGAGGACCAGGGTCGTAACCAACTTCTGGGAAGCAAGTGTGGTAGCTTACTTTTAAAACAGCAGGCTAAAATAAGCAAAACACTTTTGAAAGTCTCAGCTCATCTCATGCTTTACTTGTGATTCCTAATATTACTAGAACTGCTGACGGTGTTGCTGTGTGTGCTTTAACTGCACCACGAGAAACCAAGATGAACTGCAGAGCAGTTCATTCCACTGTAAAGCCATGTGAACATCTCCTTAATGCACACAATAAATTACATTTCTATTTCAGGAAACAATTCCAGGAAGAAACGATTGCACAGGAATTTAGTGGAAGCTGGCTCCTGGGAAGTGCTCTCCTTTCCTACCCATAGACACCAGGCCCCAGCAGCCCAAACACTCCATCCGATCTCTCCTACCTCCAGGGACACATACATAGAAGCCCTGCTCTCTTTCTCCTCTCCCTACCCATTCTTTCTCCATGAGACATGTTGATGATCATCCCCCTGCTTACCCCACCCCACACCCATCACACCTATCCTTCCCAACTGCTCCATCATCAGACTTTGAGCATCTGAAGCCAAAGGGGCAGCCAGGGGACACCTGTAAAATGTCCCTAGGAAGGAGAACAGCAGGGCATACTGTATCGTGCCCAGCTTTCAGGCACAATCTTCCCTGCCCAAACGCCTGGAAGGAGAAGGCAGGGGAACTACCTGCCAGAGGCAGCCAAAGATGTGGAAGGAGGCCTCCAGAATAAGGTCAGTGGTACCAAGGGCAGGTCTTGAGCCAGAGGTTGACTGTACCTCTCCCTGCTGGCAGCCTTGGCATCTCAGGAGGCATTACAAGCAGCAGAGACCGAGACCCTGCAGGGGAGGAGACACAAGGCTCCTTGGGAAACACTGAGGAGCGTTTCTGCCATAGGTGCACAATCAGGCAACCAGCTCTGGCCAGGAAGATGCCACACTCCAAAAGCAACATTCCCAAATGGTGCATTTATTGCTCTGAGCAGTGCCAGAGAAGGCCAGAGAGATGGAGGTGTGTGCAAAGGCTAAAGCCAGGATGTGTGGCCATCTGTCACACTCATGGCTGCTGAGGTGTAGGAGATGGGAAGGGGATCAGACACCTATCTAGAAGGACAGTGGCTCGAGGGAGAAGTGCTGTGGTATGATGGAGCAGACCCACTGTGGCAGTCATCCTGATTGCCCCAGCAAACAGGACCCCAATGCAAAGTGAGGATGTTGGTGAAGGAACTGCTTGTGCTTCCTGCCTGTGGCAGCAAAACAGCAACCTCCCCTGCAGTGCTGAGATCAGCTAAAGAGGTGGCTGATCACTAGACCCAAATCATACACCCTTTTCCTTCCTGAATGACAGAAAAGTGAGTAGCGTGAGGCAAAACTGCATGACCGCCCCTCTTGAGAGCACAAACATGCCTCCTGCCAATGCATGTTTCTTCACTGGAACATAGGTCTCGCCTCAGTGGTCTCTGCTCATACCTCAATTTCCAAGCCAGCAGCCCCAATGTTAGATGATGGCCATATTTAGCCCCAAGGCTTCCCTCTGTGTCCCCACCATTCACCACATTCAGCTCAGCAGCTATGGCCTGCTAGGCTTTATTTGCTGCAAGTCTTCTGCCCCCGCCCCTGATTTCTCCCACCATAACCTCTGCCCAAGCCATCTGTGATCTGAACCACCTCAATCCAGATCCTTGTCCTTCTCAAAGCTAAAATTATTCCACGCACACAGGCCAGATAGGAAGGCACCTCCCCACTGCCACCTGCCTGACGGCTTTATCCATTGAGCTTCTCTTAGGGCTTCCTCCCATATTTCTTTTCACCTCCCTTGTGCTCTTGGATGTGAGTGCCAATATTACAGGCTCACAACCTATGTACCACCTGGAGATTTCCAGACCATGCCTAAATGTGGAATTACTAGGTGGGACCCTGTGAACAGCTTCATGTCTAGGTGTCCCACATGACACACACCTCTCTAACAGAGCCACCACCAAGGCTGCTTATAGGACAGGACAAATGGTTCTGGATCTGGCCAGGAGGACCAAAGGAAGGAGAGTTTTGCCCCTTACATCACTCAAGGTTTCACAGGTTTCCTGTTGCGGCAGGCAGCTTGCTGCTTCTCCTGCACTGTGCCTGCGTAGTCACTGTGCCTGCAGGCGAGGGAGAGCTCGGGTGAAGCTGGGTCTGGGAAGCAGAGGGAGGTGGGCAGCGTTCAAAGTGCAAGAAAGGCAAAGTGGTCAGTGAACTCCGACAGTGCTGCGCTACTGGGGTCGGCACTGGGATGGTCAGTCACCTCTACAGAAGTGTCCAAACAAAACAAACTCGTCTCAGCCCCTGTGGACACCCAAGCCACTCTAGTAGCACAACTTTCCTGGGTGAGCTTAGCCTGGTCAGTTATTCACATCGGTTAGCACAGCCGGGAGAAGAAAGTGCAAACCTGCCCCCAGCTCAGATGGCAGTAGCTGGGCTCGGCTTGTTTTCTTGCTCATATTTAGATGACGCAGTATCAGGGAGGAGCACTGCATCAGGCTTCCATGGCCCTCAAAACCGAAACAGAAAGCAGAGGCAGCTGCCTGGGACGCAACAGGGGCTGCGGTGTCAGAGCCCAGCCAGCACAGGACCTGGCAGCAGCCACAGACCAGCTCAGCTCACCTGAGCTGAGGGCGGCACCTCGGCCCTCTCCAGCGTGTTTCAGCTCTGCACCCAGCCAGATGGGCAGCCCGTAAGTATCCTCCACTGAGTCCCCTACCTTTTTAATGCCGCTGGTATCGGGGGGAGCTGCCAGGCAAAGTGGTGCTGCAGGGTGCAAATATCTGGGAGGGAGGAGGTCCTTCCCCAGCTGTGGGACACTTTCAGGGCAGTTCCTCCGCAGTCTGGTTGCTGGTTTCTGTTTGCCAGCAATCCTTACCTTTTCAGCAGCCTTTCTTCACCTGTGGTTTCCCTGCAGCCAGTCCTGCCTGAGAGCGAAAGAGGG